GCGAAGGCCGTTAACTGGTCGGAGCCTTGAGGTCTGTGTGGTGTAGCTCACTGGCTCTCCTCGGTGCAGGTATGCAGCAGAAGATTGAAAGGAAAGGGAAAAGTGAAGACTGAAGTTGAACTTGAAAGTTGAAATCACACGTGTTCTGCTCAGTCCTCCTGACACTCTAAGTCTGTAAGCTGAAAGAAAGCCTGAAACAAAAATCGTCAAAAAAAAATAAAATAAATAACATGCCATATAAACGGGACGGGACGTCTCGATAGTGGGCCTGAGTCCCGTCCCGTCCCATTCTTGTTTTGGTCTTGTCCCGAAAAAGTCCCGTCCTGATTTTTTCGGGTCGGGATAGACTCGTCCCAATATGATCGGGACGAGTACGGGCCAGTCGGGCTGGGTACAACTTGAGCACCCCTACCTATGCATGCAAACTAAAACATGAATTAAGAACCTATACAGAGTTAGTATTTTATAACTTGAAAATCAACCTAATACTATGTTAGTATTAACTTAGTTATTTTGAAGTGTAAATGATATATGCTCTCACAGTGAGTTACTTTTGATTTTTTTATAAAAAAAATCTATGGTTCTAAAAAACAAATCATACACAAAACTGCAAGATCACTTGAAAAATAACTGGAAAATGTCTCCTGATGATAATTTTTTTTTTAAAAAAAAAAACTCACAACGCACCCCAACAAAACGCAGGAGATTCAGACCCAAAACAACCACTAGAGCATAAGAAATTTTTCATGATAATTTTTACTCCATCTAATAACAACGTGCTCTAGTGGTCCACATTTTACATACCCTTTATTTTTACAAAAATCATAAAAATATAAAAATATTTCTTATTTTATATAAGAATCAATAATTTAAAAAAAAAAGAGCCACTTCAAAAAAAAGATAATTTTTTTTACCAACAAAAAAAAGATAAATTAGAAGCTCGAGGAAAAATACTTGGGTGGGGTCAGCATGTCCCGATAGTGAAGGCCAACTGCGAGTTCTTTTAAGCTTGTTAAGTTGGCAATGATGTGGCATTTTAACTGTGGGAATCCGTTCAGAATTCCGAAATGTAATCAGACCAAGAAAAAAAATCACTCCGAAAAAAAAAAATCAACGAGACAGATAGAGACCTGAGATTGAGTGGTGAGAGATAGAGCGTGGCAAATTCCGATTCCAGTGAGGGTAAGAAGACGAAGAAGTACGACGAGAATGGATATTTGATATTTGGTAAGTAGGTTGAAAATGAGAAGACGAAGAAGGACCATACAAAATGAGAAGGGAAGGCTATGGACGCTGCTGGGATTGGAAGAGATGATGATTGAAAAGAGGGGACATAACATTAGAAAACAAAAGGGCAGAAAATATATAAATATTAAATAAAAGAGGAGTTGTCAGCAATGTTGAAGGAGCGGTGGTGTTGCAAGGCGTGGGGTGTCTCCGCTTCCTAATCCTCGTTTTCTCCTCCATTTCCTCAAAACGACGGCGCTTCAGTTATTTAAAACAAAAGTACAGAGAGAGAGAGAGAGAGAGAGAGAGAGAGAGGGAAAGCAACTCAAAGAAAGACTCTCGGCCTTCCCATTGTCGGCAGTCAGCACCGGAAAATGCTCGCCTCTACCACCGCTACACTCGCTAGAAGAGCCGCCGCTGCTTCTGCTTCATCGCCCTCTTCTTCTCCTTTTCCTTCTCCTTCTCCTTCTTCTTCTTCCACCTCCTTGGTATTGCTGCCTGCATTCTCTACCTTGTTTTCCGCCCTAAAGCCCCTGGCTACACCGTCCACGGCATTGCAATCAAAGAAATCAACCTCATGTTGCCATCGCCCGAGATGGCTGGAATTTCGTCGGAGGAGGAGCAGAGGAAAGAGAGTGAACTGTTGAAGCTGGAAGTGAAGGCGTGGGTGAAACTGAAGGTGGGGTCCTTCAAGGCATGGAAAATCAAGGTTGAAGTTAAGTGTGATATGACGATGGATAAGTTGACGGAACAACCAAAGATTGTTTCCCAGAGTCGTCGTTACAGTACGAATGTTTGGTGATGAATACCTAATAATTTGATGCGATTTGCTCTATTATTTGTTCTGTTCTATTTTGTCTTTGTTTGTTGCAAAGGTTAAGTAGATTTTATTTGATACACAAATAAGAAGAGGTGGCGCCGACTATCGAGAATGGGAAGGCAGATGGACTTTTTTTGAGTTGCTTTTTATTTTTTTTTGGTTGGCATTTTAAATAAGCAAAACGCCGTCGTTTTGAAGAAGTGGAGGAGAGGATTGGGAAGTGGAGACTCCCCCACGCCCGGTGTTGCAGAGGTTTTTCATCAGTTTTGAGCCTTATCATATTCCGTGCTCAGTGCTCACCTTGAAAAGATTAAAAGCAGAGTGCCAATGTGGATAAGGCTATCAACCTATATCACTCACGATTTTGTTTCGAGTAAAATGCTCTAAGCTCTGGAATATGACGCATAAAACTGGAAATCCTTACACACTAGTAATATTTCATGGGATATTTTATTTGGTCTTGTATGTTGAGAAATCTGGTGTTTTCGTTGCTCTACTGAAGCTGGGCAAGAACGATACATCGTTCCTGGTGTCCCAAGATTATTAAAATGATAGATAAGTCTTGTGAATTGGCTAGGAATGTACAACATACTAATACAAGCTGGATTCGGCCAAAGGAATTTGAGGTTCCACTAGATGATGATGAATTCTCTAAAAAAAAAAAAAAAAGCATTTCTAGATGTGGTAGCGTGGTTAGAAATTGGACTAATGATATACTTTTATAGTGGATAGTCTCCCCTCGCCATCTCTAAGTTGCAAGTCTTATTTGGGGATTACAGCTCCTCTATTAATGAGAGCCTACATGTATTGTGCTGAAACGATTCTTCTAATTACTAGCTGATCAACACACTTGCAAGAAGATTTTTGATTATGCTAAATATTTTTTTGTTCAACAGTAGTTTTATTTCTGTAGATCAGTTTTATGTGTAAAAAAAGTATCTCTTATACTCATTTTCTCGCTAGCCCTGCTTCTACTAGCATTGGCCATTTCTGCTTTTAAGATCAACCCACACTTTTTTGTTTAGGGGTTATGAATGATGAGACCTAATTTGTCCTCTTTTTAGTTAAGTAATGTTATTTAGTATTTATTCCAAAAAAAATTACTCTGAACTTTCTTTATTTTATTTTAATTGAAAATATTTTATTTTTATTCCTGAAACCTATTTAAATTTTTACTAATATAAATAATTACAAAATAAGAATATTCCATCTATTTTCTAAATTTTATTTTTATTTATACAATCATTAGTTACTCGTTAATTCACACATATTATACTAAAATGTTTATTCTTTAAATATAAATGCTGTGTATAAATCATACAAAAAAAACTAATGAATATATTTATATACTTTTTTATTTATATTTAAATTTTGTATTAAATTACAAATCTGTTTTAAATGTTTTTGAAAAAGATGCAATTGATATTTTAACATTTTTTAAGGTATAATGTCAATCCAACGTCAATTCTATATCTAAAAAGTGAGCGAACGACAGTATTTAAATAGCATATTGACAAGCTTACCCTTAATTAATTGTCACTTTCTACTAATACAAGCACAGTATGTAAAAATTTATGGGACAAAAGTGCCCTGGTGGCTGGAGCTTGGCTTTTTTCACTCTAGGCCGATGGAATCTGACTTCTATCGCAAGACAAGGAAAAAAATTAAGGACACGTGTCGCAGTGCTTTCTTGAGCACTAAGTTGGGTTCCTGCCTCCCAGTTCGAAGTTCCAGATTTCTGGCCTTCACCCATTCTACTTCTTCATTCCCACCTCCCGACTTTTGTCATTTGACCAGAACATTTTATAGCTCCTCACCATTTGTCTCCTCCCTCCACCTCTCGCTTGAAGTTCGGAGTTTGTTCTCCATAGCCACTCCACAACAAGCTCTTTTGTTTTTTCTTCCTCACCTTCCACCATGTCGAAATTCGACTGTGTAGCTTGTATCACACTCTGTCCCCTGTGGATCACCGTCACAACCGCAAAAGCCCAAGGGATTGAAGCTGCTCATCTTATTCCAAGTCTACCCGTGCTAGGTCTTCTTTCTAATTCTGAGAGATGGATTTGTGTTTGAAACGTCTGCCCCTGTGTTGGTATTCGTATGAATTTTGGAAATTCTCAGTTATGCTGCAATTTTAAGTGCTGTATCCAATGTGCTTTAAAATTCATGTCACTGGTTGTCTTCTTTTTCCGAATTTCTCTAGTCTCTTAGTTAAGCATATGAAATGAGCAGGTACCCAATCAAAGTGTTTCGCCCCCTGGTTCAATTGCCATGAATTGGGCTATTGAGACACAATTGAAAAGTAGTTCTTCATCTAATCCTTTTCATGAGGTATCATACAAAATATATTTGAAAATGTATTTTTAATTATTTTCAGTCATTTAGATCAGTATTAATCCATAAAATTTTCAGGTCTAATCCTTAGATATAGAGGTTGAAGAAGATACTTTTTAAGGAATGCCTTTTGTCCTTCTGTCCTGTGAAAAATGAATAATGAATACAGGGTCAAACTTCTATATTGCATTTGGTAGTAGAAAGATGCAGACAGAGAAGGTTACAATCCTCGATACTTAGTCTTCTTTTCATGCATCGATCAGTAGTCTCCTGAAAGCTTTTGACTTCTTACATCATGGGTTCTGCTTTTTTTTTTTTTTCTTTTTTTAACATCAGGACTTGGCAGTGATGGAAAGCATGCAGTTGTGTTTAGAGAATGTCATCAATGCTGTTTTTTGATGGTTCTAATGAATTTGCCAAGGCAAATGCTTAACTTTAGCCTTCAGTTTGTAGAATATTTTAAGGTTTTTTGTTCGAATTTTCCATGATTTATTGTTGCATTTAGGCTTGCGCTAGTGGCAGTTCCTTAATAATTTTGGTTATTTTTCTTGAAGTCTTACTTCAGCTACTTCTTTATGCAAAATGGACAGAACCTTCCCTTGTGGAAGTACTTGGTCACTATCTGGATGCGATGGCTCCATTTCTGAAGTTTCTTCCAGATGCAGTTGGGAGCGTTATCAGTAAACTATTTGATCTTCTTACTTCCCTTCCGTTTGCCATCAAGGTTCCCTAAACAATCTCCTTTCTGACTTTACTTTTGATTACTGAGAAACTACTTCAGCTTGCTGGTTAAGACTTAAGGCTATATTCCTCCTGGTAGGGTACTTCGACATTTAGTGCACGTCATGCAAGGTTACAGATTGGCACTTCATTTATCTGGATAGCAAAAGCTGCTGACAAAAGCACTTTGCCTCACATGAAGGTACATTATTTTATTTGTTAAGTTTTTTATTTGTATGCTAAGCATGGCAGTGAAATGCTAAATGAGTGGGAATTGACTTTTGTCCACCTAGCACTAAAACTAAATATGAGAAGAGGAGGACAAAGGTTGTCATGGAAATTTATTAATCTTGATTAGCTTTTGAATAAATCTCTTCTAAGACTAAATCATGATGATAGACCAGTGCCTTTGAGAGTATTGTTAAATTTGCTGGCGTCAAACAGACAACATCATGTGTTCAGTGATTATACACTACTACAAAAATAACTTTTTACAGCGGCTAAAAATGACTATTTACAGCGATTAAATAGGCGATGTTGTTACAGGAGATATAGAAAGTCTAACCTTTTACATCGGTTATACGACCATTGTAAAAAATACATATTCTACATCGGCTAATCATAACCGATGTAGAAAATGGATCAACGAATAAAAAATAAAAAACTAGAACACTTTTTATAGCAGTTGTGTTTGAACCGTTGTAGAAAGTAGAAAGTCTACTTTCTACAACGGTTGGAAATCCATCCACTGTAGAAAGTCCGCTCTCTACATCCAACCGTTGTAGAAAGTTCGAACCGTTGTAGAAAGCGGACTTTCTACAGCAGTTAACCGCTGTAGAAAGTTCGAACCGCTGTAAAAAGTGGTTCAAACACAACCGCTGTAGAAAGTAGACTTTCTACAGCGGTTAGTAGAAAGTGGACTTTCTACACCGGTTGGAGTTCCAACCACTGTAGAAAGTGGACTTTCTACCAACTGCTACAGAAAGTCTACTTTCTACAGCGGTTCAAACACAACTGTTGTAGAAAGTTTGCTATTTTACATCGGTTTTTACATTAACCAATGTAGAATATTAATTTCTACACCGGTTATGGTAATAATCGTTGTAAAAAGTGTATTTTTTTTAAAAAAAACGTCCGTATTTTTAAATTTACCCTACTCTGTACACAAAAATTACCACAGCCAAATCAGACAACTCAATTTATTTACAATTTTCAATATAAAATTAAATTAACAACTATTCAAAACTCAAAGTTATTTATAAACTATCTAAAAACTATATATTGAGCTATCCAAAACATTGTGTCAACAAATGTTTTCAAAAGTTGTCTATAACTAACAAACTTCTTAAATTGTATGAAACTTTCTACAAAACTCACAAATTCTCCCCAAAATAAGTTGCCCAATGTATGCGAATGTCTTCAATTTCAACTTCGGGGAATGGATTCGAATTGTCAAACATCTAAAATATAATTTGTAAAAGAGATTTATTATGTACTCTCAAATAACATAATAAAATAAAACTCTTAAAAATATATTTACCTCTTTTGTAAATTCAGTCATACCCAATGTGATAATGTTGAGCATATGTCTCATGACATATAGGCCGCACAAATTCGTCTTCACTGGTTGTCTATGGCTTTGTATAAGAATAAATCATAAGAAATCAATAAAAAAATCTTAGTAATTGAACATATTCATAAAGTATAGCATTACCTTTGGCTCGATCCATGTAGGATCCTTGAGCTCATGTCTGTGCTTTTGCAAGACCACATTTTGATATGTTTTCATTGCTTTATGTTCAAGATTACCAAGTTAGTAACTAAAATATTTAGTGTAAATTATATTAAATATTTTTGCACAAATATACTTACGAGTCTATCGTCTTCTTCATTTCCTTCCCAAGTTTGTAATGGAGGGAACATAAGAAGATAATAGTGTTGCTCTTCATTGAAAGAACAAACAACTGCCAATGGTCCCTGCAAAATATGACAAATTAAAGTAAATCTATATCGAAAAAACTATTAATTACAAATTGATCCTCACGAGTGCACATATGGAGTCATAAAAACATCTTTCTTGACTTCACATATTCTTTGTTGGAGATACTGGGCCCTTAACTCTGGAGTATTCCTTTTCTTTGTCATGTGATATGGGCAAAAGAATCCGAACTTATCACCTTTGCTCGATGTGATGCACAAATGATAAAGGTACCTACAGTAATGCAATTGTGTTAGATCACTAGACTTGATAATTAAGTTAATTTCATTAAAGAAACACAAACTTACATCATAAATAGTTCAATGTGTGGTGTGGTAAGCTGACTATTTGATAAAAGTCCAAGCAAATCTTTCTGTTCAATTGTCACTATCATGTCTTTCTTACCCACAACCTCCGAATCCATTTTTAAATCTTTGAATTTGAATGATGGATCATACACCATTAAGATCATTTATTAGTGTGGAGTTAACGAGGGTTCTGGAAGTTTCGGGAGATTCGGCAAGAAAAGTTATTATACATAATAAAAAAGAAAGAAATAGTTAGTAAGAAAACATTTTAGGAAAGCTGCAACATAATAAAATTGCATACCACAGGTTAAACCATATTCACAAGTCTCTTAGGCCACAGGATAAAATTGCCAACAGCTTCTGCTATAGTCTTCACCTCATCAGTAGGGAATGGAACCAACGTGTTTGGCACTTTTGGATCTTCAACCATCACTCTTACTTGATAATCTTAAATTTGCTTATGGTGGATGGTTGATCTCAAGTTGTAAACGCTACCAAGCGTCTATCAGGATCTTCTAGAAACATCTCGTATGGTTCACCAATGTTGTCACCAGAAGGACTATTTGACACACGCTCAAGAACATTACTCCCTTTTGTGCTATGAAATCCAGGAGACGTATGAACTGGTTCAGTAGGCGTCTCCTACGTGAGCTCATCATGCTCATCATCTCCTCCTTCATTTTCTCTTTCATTTGTAAAAGCCGAGCCTCGAATGAAGCTTCAAACTCTTCTTTAGTTAGCTGTCTCACAGTGAATATCACTGTTTCAAGTTCTTCTCTAGTCACTACACCTCCTAAGTTCGGCGTAAAGGTGCTCCAAAGTAGTCTCTTATGCCCATACCATGTCCAACGCCCCTCACACGACCTGGATGCTCTGGTTTTCCCGTTGCAACCGTCAAGATATCATTTTTGTCCTCTAGAATGAAACTTCCTTGGGCTTGTTGCTCCTTAAGAGCATCCTTTAACATAGAAATAATAATCTTAATTAATATTATATATAATTGTATAGAAATTTAAAGGGACAAGAAATAATAATATTACTTACAATCCTCTTAGCAATCTCGTGCGCCATCTCGCTTGTATAGCCTTTTTTGCCTCCTTTTTTGTATTGGTGTCCATATCTCCATTTTTCCTCTCGGGAGACGGGGGATGGTGGAGAAAGGAGTATGGAAGGATCGGACTTAGCTTTTTCTTCTCTCCTTCTGTTTCTCCACCATCAATATATTATTAGCCCTAGCATAACCCCCACGAGACAGCGTGTGGGGGCATTGATTCTGTCGAGCAATTTCCTGCCCTTTAGCTCGTTTTTCCTATTAAAAAAATGAATTTTAAATTTTATAGTTCAAGTAAAACTAAACAAAACTTAAATTAATTAGAAATTAACAGACTAAAGCTTTTTCAGAAGTTCAAATCCTGACAAATTCTTGCCAAGTATCTTCATCAAGGAACTAGTATGTGTCGAAAGGATTAGGATGAGCCTGACCCTTTGGCACCTCAATATGGATATATCTCCTAGCAAGATCGATCTTGAAATTTCTCCAGCACATTCCACAGGAGGAAATCAACTTGTGTCGGCAATCTTGATTAGAAGGAACATTGTACGTGAGCTTCAATTAAAACACAAGATGATAATTAGTAATTTAACAATGATATATGACTACATACATAAATTAATTACATACTTGAATACTTTCCCACATCTGGTCCTTCACACGTTCTGGACATCAGACCAGTCCTCAAATACAATAGGGGGCTTGGTACGAAATAGGAGGCCAAGAAAACTAATAAACTTGGCCTTGTGTTCTCCTATCGGATTCTATCTCTGATCAAATTGGATTGGTAACTTGTGCCCAGCACTCCTACTTAATGTCAAATCTCTCAATCGTGTGCCACGTCTACCTCTCCTCATAGACTGGCTCTCACTACGGGTGCCATGACTTGAGTCATCACTAAGTGGCTGGCCAATAGTAGGTTGGCTTTGAGTGTCATCACCATGTTTACTCTGATACTCCATGTTCCTATTAATTCATATAAATTAAATTAATTAGAAAAATAAACAAATATAAGATAGTTAGAAAACATAATATAAATTTAATTGAACTTAGGAAACATACTTTAATTTAAAAACTAAATTCATATAAGGATATTCTCCCATATCCCTTCATGGTGATCACTTCTTGTAGCATGTTCGTTATCTACTTCATCTACTACATTTAAAATTAGTAGCCCTGATGAGAAAGTAGGGGTTTCAAAAATATCGAAGCTTGATTCTTGATTATCATCACTATCAATCACCATTTTTCCTTTCAGTGCTATTGACCAATTTTTATTTTCTGGATCTGTCACATAGAAAACTTGTTTAACTTGGTCTGCCATGATAAATGGCTCATCCCCATAAGTTAGTTTTTTAAGATCAACCATTGTAAATCCTAACTTATCATCATGAACACTGTTGATGTCAACCTATTTGCATTTGAAAACAAGAACTTTAAATTTTGTATAATCAACCTCCCAAATCTCTTCAATAACCCCAAAATAAGTCCTTGCTGCTAGTTTAGGTTTCTTATCTTTTAAGCTAGAGAAGTGAACGGCTTCAGCCACTATCATAACCCCACTATTTTGCACTGTACTCTTTTCATCCAAGGACTTTGTGTAGAAAGAATACCCATTAATATCATACGCACTCTAACATATACCATTAAAGTTAGGACCTCTTGCCAACCATTTAATTGTATCAAAAATGCTACTTTCATTCAAAACTTTCTGCTTAAACCAATCTACAAAATTCTTATTATGCTCTTTCAACAACCTTTGTTCAGTCATTCTCATTCGATAATTTTCTGCCTTTAGAAGTTTTTTGTGAGAAAAAATGTATTCTTTGACTTCATCAATATTATTCAAAATATATAAATGTACT